TTCTAGAAACCATTCGGCAGAGAAATACGGAATGCTTTCAGTATTTCCGTAGAACGTGGATGCCATGGTGGAGATGTTGGGCGGCGCATCAATTACGGCATGTCATGATGTTCGGATGCAATTCTACTAATCGAGTGGAGAATGAAAACATGCATCTTAAACGGACTTTGAGCGAGCGTTCCTCCTTACGGGCGCTTTTCGAGTTGATCGTTCATCGCGCGAAAGGTATGGCTGATGGCCATAGCACTCAGTTAGCGACAGAGTGTATGCGAAGTAATTCAGCCGGCGGTAATGTATTTGTGGTATCAGAACTTGTAAGCAGATTGACGGTATATGCTCGCGAAAGGGTGATGAGGCATTTTCAGCGCAGGACTATTATCGGAGTCCTGCCGGATGGACCGTTCCGGGTGGTGTCAGAATCCGAGTCTGCTGTCTACCGCGTTTGCATACACCAAGGCAGTAACTGTGACTGTTCTTTCAATCGTCATTGACGTATGCCTTGCGGTCACATATTGCACGTTGAGGCGGAGGAGAATCGGAATGCCCACGATGTCCTTCAAGGATGTTGATGGTTGATTGATCCAGCGGTACAATCTGAAACAGCGGATAACTTGGATTGCGGTCAATGTGAAACGGTCTCCGCAGCCGGACAGGCATGGTGATAAACAGGCGCATAAAGATTCGAGGCTTGCAAAAGGTTCTTGGGGAAATCGATGTGAACGTCCAAAGTCTGGGCTCAGAGGGATATCTGAAAGCCCTGGATATTTTGCGTGCTTTCGGGAATGTTATCTCCGCTAAGTTGGATTACAACATTCGCTGCGGCACGTCAAAGTGTTCAGAAAGTATACCGCTGTGCACGGCAAACTTACCACGTTTATTGGGAGGTCAGTGTGATAATGAGGTGCAAGTTATTGCCGCGGGCTCCGCTGAAATGTCGGCGAACTTTGAGGACCGCGTTATGATGGATGGCAGTCAGGAAACCATTCCAGGCCCGTCAACTTCTGCTACGGTGGTCTCTGTGGGGAATCCAGGGCATCGAAAACGTGCGCGCAACCCTGATCCCTCGTGTTCCCTTGATCCACCTTCAGTCGCTCATACCAGATTGGTCAATGGTTACAGGCAAGACAAACTCAGCCTCCTGGTCCTCCAGGTTGGGGGTTGGAATGAGGGTGGCACCTTATTCCTTAAAACGGACTCCTTTTCGCCCAGTGCCAAACCCGCTGTCTTTCGGACAGGTTTTTGAATCAAAGGCTTTGGTTGAGAACCCTAATCGTTCTCCTGTCTAGGCCTGGGCAACCTGACAGTATCCTGCCCACGCAATACGATGAATGCCACTTTCAACGAATCTCTGAGCTGATCTACCGGTAACGATGGGCATCCTTCCGATAAGTTATCTGCCGGCCGCTATGCGGCAGAGAACAAATAATTGACGATGCAAATTTATAGGATGCTAGATAATAAGATGGTGGTTAGACTGGGGGCTACGTGGGATGGGTTTGACAATGAAACTCACAGCACGAACGCCACTGAGGTCAGGTCGTTGCCGTCTCAACAAATGTATTTAGCCAAACGTGTTCATCGTCTTTAGTGCCCCAGCCATGGAGCCGAGACACTCCAACCGAGGCCGGTTTCGAAGTGAGGGCCTTCATTCCTCTTGAACAGCTTATTGCTTGGCCACCTCTCCACTTCCATCCACACTATCGGTGCTCAAACAACGCATGTCGCGGGAGTTGGTGGACAGGTATGCGTAATACTTGGCCGAGGCATCGGAACCTGGTTCTTGAAAGAACGGTCCTGACGGGTTCGTTTCTTTTACACGTGCGGTAAACAAGGCGACGGACACGCTCGTTGCTCACGCGGTTCCCACCAGATGTGAGCTGAATTACGAAGGCATCGATGCTCGAACGTGCCCAGCCTCTTTATGTTCGCTGATCTTAGGGGCCAGGTTTCACAACCGTACAGTAGAGTCGAACGTACCGCTGCGTTGTACATTCTACCCTTCAGGGCGAGAGTAATGTCGCGCCGGCGCTATAAGTGTCGAATGTTAGCAAAGGCACCTCGAGCTTTTGCTACACGGTTAGTAATCTCGTCTTTAATCCCACGTGTGGTGATACAACTTCCCAGGTAGTTGAATTTTGAACCAGTTCTAGCTGATCCCCACCAACGTTCAGCGAAGGAGGCGGTCCAGGCTAATCATGGTGGAATGCTTTGCACTTCGTTGGTGCAAATCGAAGCATGACGCGTCTGACATCCAGTGCTAATCTGTCCAGCGCGGCTTGGCACGTCTGGGAGATGTCACAGATTAAGGAAGTATTTTCAGCATACTCGAAGTCAGGAACTCGTTCTCCTGGTAGTTGCTCCACATCTTCTAAGTCGTGTCCTTTGAACGCGATTTCCATGACTTCGTCAGTAGCGAAGTTGCAAAGGAAAGATGACATCGGGCGTCCTTGTCTCACACCGCTTGAGATATCGTAGGGTGGCGACAGCTTGCCGTAAGCCGTCACTCTGCCTGAGCTACGCGCGTATAATGATCCGATAATATTTACGTATTTATCAGGTACACCTTTCCTGGGTAGACAGTCTCAAAGTGTAAGTCTATCCACAGAATCGAATGCACCTTTGATATCGAAGAACACGACTAGTGTGGGCCGCCAATATGTGTGGCGGTGCTCCAACAACTGACGCAAGGTGAAGATGTGGTCGATGCAGCCACGACCTCGACGAAACCCGGCTTGCTCTTCACGAATATGATTTCCACAAGTACTAGTCAGTCTGAAGGGTCATGGAGGCGAGTAATTTGGGGGCGATGGAGATCAGACTGATTACTCTATGGTTGCCGCATTCCGATCGTCAGCCTCCTTTAAAGATGGGAACACTAACGGAGCGGCTCCAGTCGGTTGGCACAGTCTCCTCGCAAAATCTCACCAGCTCGTGTAAATCATCTTGAAGAGCCGGTCCGTCGGATGTGAAGAGGGCTGGAGGTTGCCCATCTGGTCACGCGGCTTTATTTAATTTTAGCAGCGCGATTTCACGTTCCACTTCTGAGCGAGAGGGTGTCGGGGCGATCAGTTGTGGGCGATAGAGCTCACAATTCCGACCGATTAAATTGCCTTTCATAGTGCTCAGCCCAGCGCTCCAAAAGTTTTGAGAAATTGTGGATGGGCTGTCCACTCGTCACGTATAGTTTCACTAACACCAGGTCTTCTGCTGCCCGTTTCCCCTATCAGCCGTAATATTTTACCATAGTTGCCAAGGGCGGCGACCATTTCCACCTCTGCACGATGAGACCACCAGGATTCGCGGTCTCCAGGTTAGCACGGAGTTTTACCCGGAGCTCTTTGCGAGTTTCATTATGTTCGCTTCCATCCAGAATATGTCGGCGAGCATCGATAAGTTCCAGAGTCTGTGAGGAGACCAAATATCTATGTTGGTGATTAGACATACCACATGAGGATTTACCTGCTGCTGGTAAGTGAGACCAGTGAGCTTCAACTGCCTCCAGTGAGCGCTTACTCAATTCGCATGACAGCGTACATCGATACGCATTCAGAACAGTTGGTTTCGCCAGTTAGCTGGTGTGAATGCACGGCGTATACGACAAGGCGGTCCAGAATCGCCGAATACCAGCACCCGGTAACCGCATGCGCTCTTTTCGGTTGATTATGCAGACAGGTCTGTTGTGTTCAGCTATTTAATTTCGCAGATGACTATCAGTATGCGCGCTTCGTGTCTCTTGCGTATGCAGAACTTTTATTTTCGCATGACAATGTCAATGGGCACACCACGCAAACGAATCCGGTATTTTCATTTCCTAGTATTCAATTAACATTCCAGAAGGCGACCTGCCAGGCTACTTTCCGACAGTGATGGGGAATAATTTCGTGCACAACTTCGAAAACAAAGTTACCTGCCAACGCCACGTATCCAGCTGCACCATCCGCAGGAATGTTTGCCTTGGCGTCGGAATCAGTTGACACCATCCACCAACCCGTTCCATCATGCAGCTACACATCCTCTGCTCAAAATACTTCCAGATCGGGAGGCGGGAGCGCACTGGTTGCAGACCTAGACGTTCAAACTACTGGTAAGGTTCTCGTAGCCCAATAAAAATCCGTTTACCTCAGGAACTAATACGGCTTTCCGTTCGCCTTCTGTAACTACCGAAAGAACCCCTGACTAACTTTCTTCCGGTCTTACTACTTTGCAGTTGCCACCATTGCAGACTTCTTTCATGACATAAAAAGACCACCGATATTAAAAAGTCGTTAGCGATTAACCAAGGTGCGTTTTCCAATCCCAATGACAGCATGTGTCTTTCGGGTAGATATTACTCGCCGTTGGGACCGCTTATTTGTAAATCTGTAAGACACGCTGAAGTCTCTGACAGAGGCTTTGCGTCAATTGCGACAGCAACGTAACCCGGACTTATCATTCCCGTTCACCACGGTGGATGCTTTGTATGTATATGACGCATCACTACCGGACGGAAATCGTCGAAATGCCCTGGTAAGAAGCACATATTGTAACTGACCGCTGAAAAGACGCAGTACCTTATTTGCCTACATGGCAATAATGTTCATCATGCCGCCCGGAACATGTCTTCAATGTTATCTCAAGGTGTTGTAGCCGGAATCAATTTCTCCTTTGCCTGAAGTACCTACTCTTTTAGAAAAACGAGGTTGTGCTTCGCCATAAACAGTAAGTTACCAACATTTCCACGTGCCATTCTTCACAGCAACTCTATTGACCCGTTTTGCCGCATGGGGCCTTTCTTCCGAAGAAGTTGCCGAGACAGTAAAGAAATGTTTGCACACCGTGCGACACAATACGGCACCACAACGTATGGGTACAACACTGACTTCCAGGGAAGAACGAATGAAGTACAATATTCAGATCAATTATTGTTTTCCAGGTTGCAGATCTGGTTGACCTGGACAAACGAACACGTGCAGTCATGACACCCATGTGCTTATTTACAACTGCATTTTTTTTGCGCATACATGTATGTACATTCGGTTCCTTCCTATTGCAGATTGGTTTTCCAAATCTACAGCCTCGGTAAGCGTGTGAACATAAACTGTGCTTTGCGAACGTCCACACCCAGTCTAAGTGAACCGTCGAAGCGATTTCCATGTAGACGAGATTTATGTCCTACTCGCGGGTTTACAACTGCTTGCATGATTTGTGCGCCCTGTAATAGCAGTAATGAGCACCGAGAAAGGTCACAGTATTCCTTCTTGAAACTTGCGACCAGGTTAGTTGCACATGTAGGGAACTCTACGGGGCTTCCGCGAAGGGGAAGCATCACGGCCGCGTAAATGAATCAGCTGATTTCTCAATCAGCTGTTTAACGTGGTCAGGTGATCAACGTGATGATTGGCGCCTACCATCGTAAAGACATTCGTAAGTTTACCCCAGCGTACTTCAGACCAACTCGACCATTATATGGCGATGGCGTGTAGGGGGCCTATGCTGATGAAAATACAACACTTCAGCCGTCAGTATGTGCTGGGAGGGTAGCATTTTCTGCTGTGGCAGTCACGTGAAGTAAGCGAAGGATAGTAAGAGAAATCGAAAATACAGAATAAGGAAGTTCACTTAAAATATGAAAATAATATCAAGGCATGAAGCAAAGTAGCGGAAGGAAAGACGAGGTATGAAGATGCGAGTTAGTCAGGAAAAGTGAAAGGCTTCGTGTTGCCACCCAAGAGCGTCAATTTGCCGCTCAAACCCCTTAACCGTAGATTCCCTGATAACACTTTCCGGAAGCATGTTCCAACGGTCGATAACTCGGCGTGACAGCCGGATTTCCGCCCTAATCCGATCGGACCGCGGTTTGTCCAGCTTCAAGGAATGACCGCGTATAACAGAAAATCTAGCGGGACTGAATAGCCAAGATAAATCCGGACCAACCTTCCCAGTCAACATAGGGTAGGTTAGGATTAGGTCTCCTCTAAGCCTTCGGTTGTGCATTGAATGCATTCCCAAACTAAGTAGACGCCCTGGGTACGTCCGTCCCCGTAATCCCTCGACTAACCTAGTACCCACTCGTAAAACCCTCTCTAGCTCCATTTTGTCCCGGACGAGGCAGGGCGGACAAGCCTGGACGCAGTATTCCAGATGAGGGCGAAGGAAAGCCGAGAACAGCCTCGTAAAGATGCCGCCCATCAAGACCGAAGGAATGTCGTATTAACCACAACATGCGGAAACCTCTGCTTGTGGCCTTCTTCCAGTTGTCACCTGAGTAAAGCCGAAGAATGTACGACGCCTAGATCAATCTGGCTAGATACACGGGGAGTTCGACCCCATCGATCAAGTACTTCGCAGGAGGACAACCTCCTCCAATTGGAAGAACGGAGCATTTTGTCTGATTTATGGGCAGTAACCATAAAGTAGACCAGTCTCAACTCTTATCAAATGCTCGCTGAATAGCTTCGGAACCCCCAAGAACATCGACAATGTTCCACAGCTTCAGGTCATCAGAAAATGGCAGCGATGGTACCTGAAGCGCCCGAAGGTAATTCACACAAATAGAGAACAGCAGCGGTCCAAGGACCGAGCCCTGCGGTACGCCATTGAGAACAGACTGCCTAAACGATAGGCCCCGGCCTACCCGTACACACTGTTCTCTACTCTCCAAGAAGGCAGTCACCCAGTGAAGAGCGCGACCAGATACCCCGTAGGAGGTCAGCTTTTACGCTAGCCTCAAATGGGGTACCTTGTCAAATGCCTTCGAAAAGTCGACGAAAAGCACGTCCAGCGCGTGGCCGTTATCCACAGCATCCGCCCAACTTTCGCGAGCCACCAGTAGACTTGTCAGATACGAAAATCCCTTCCGGAATCCGTCTTGTACATTGCTAAGTAGATTAAATCTACTCAGGTGACTCTCCAATGAATCTCTCACCAGTTTCTCGAGGAGTTTGATTACTAAACTGGTTAGGCTAACTGGCCTGTAATTTGCAGGCCGACTCCTGTCCCCATTTTTGAAAATATGACAGATGACAGCTTCTTCCACTCGGAAAGTAATGCACAGCTGACAAGGGATTTCTGAAACACCAAAGTGAGCGGTATACTTAGTTCTGCGGTGAACTCCTGCAACAGCTTCGGATGAATTAAATCAGACCCAGTGGCCTTAGAAGGATTCATTTCTTGTAGCAGCCTACGAACGTCCGTTTCCGCCGAACTACATTCAGGTGGTCCTTAACCCTCTGGAATCCTGCAAACCAGATCAACGCCTGTCAAAGAGGTTTCCCTTACAGACGCTGCTGCATATTACCTACTAAGTACGCAGGTGTTGTCACTGTCCGTATGCGCATGAGTACCGTCATCATGCATCAATACTTGAATTGACGTGTTCGAACCGCAGCGCCTTTTGACATACGCGGAGAATCTTTTTGGATTCTCTAAAGCCTCGTCTGTTAACCCATTCTCGAAATTGAATCGAGCACTCCTTATGTGTTGTTTGCACCTATTTCTAGCCTTACGATACCTGTCATAAGTATCGGTGGACGGAGCATCTCGATAAGTCCGTCAACATTTAGACCTCTTTGTGAGCAGATGCCTGCCAGTAGAATCTATCCAGCGCGGCTATGCTCGTGCCTCTTTTCTCCTTGTGACTGGGATGAAGGGAGCAGAGACCTCTGTAAAGCAGGACTTAAATTTATCCCAGGCAACCTGGACAGTATCATCGTCTGAGATCTCACAATGGAAACCTGAAGTCTTGGCTCTCATCGATTGATAGTCTGCGGGCCATATGTTCGGGAGAGAAAACTCTACTCTGGTAGCGTCAAGACAAGGTACAATTGAAGAGCAAACAAACACGATCACTGGAACCCAGTGGAGGTCCGTAAGTAATGTCACCAACAAAGTCGAGTGACTTAGCAAATACACTATCTAAACTATACGGTACTTGGGCGTCCGTGTACCTAGTGAGGTGGTCAACGAACTGTGGCAACGGTACTTGGAGCGTAAGCTCATGTAGATCAGCGCCGAACGTGCCGGACGCTGAGTCGCAAGAAAGATCTGCCCAGCATACCTCCGGGAGGTTGAAGTCGCCCGTCACCAAACAGTTGTTTGCTGACTGGGAGCGAATAAAGTCAAGTACCTCTTTGGATACACTCCCAGGGCTTCTATACACAATTACAACTGTAACCTGAGCCGAGGATGTGCTAATCACAGTCGACAGAGCTTCAACAGTTTTGTCTGCCAACTGAAATAAGCAAGTCTTCAAAACGTCAAGTTTTGCAGCTCACATAAAGAGCGCCGCCCCTCCCTGCGGGCCAGCGGAGCGATCGCATCGAAATAATGCGTAGCCAGGTAGATGTACTTCACTATCCCTGATGTCCTGAGACAGCCAGGTTTCAGTGAATGCGAGTATATCGGGATGAGACCCATCTACAAGCAGACCTAACTCGTACACCTTATTCTTTAGGCTGCACACATCACTTAGCACTATCTGAAGGGATTCGTTAGCTCCAGACCTGGGTCGTGCGCCACCAGAATGAGCAGTAGTAGGGCGGCAAAGGACCGCCGGCTGACCACCCGAAAACCCACTAACCGGAGACCTTGTTCACTGACTGCTCTCCTGCTTTTGAGGTTCTTGATGGCCTCCCTTAGCTTCAGCCTATCGTTCAGCGGAAGGTCCGGCTGAACACTAATATTTGTACCTTCTAGCTTACAAGCAATCCGCATGAGAGCGTTGCGTTGCTCCGGGGTAAAGAGTACCACACGAAGTAGCCGTGGTCGAGGATTTGGTGCATTTACTGAGACGTTCCTCAGTCTAATCAGCTTGCAGACAGTAACGCCTGGAAAACCTGGCGGAAGAAGGCTCGTTACGCACATTTTAAGCCATTGAAGGTCGTCCAACATGCGATCAGCAGGAAGGACAACAGTGGATTCAGCCGCGTTACGGAATATAACGCCACTATCCTTGAAAGAATCACCACGACGGGGTGTATTAACCCCACGGGTCTTTGATTCGATACTTGGAGCAGGTGCCTTCAACACTGGTGATGAGACTGTCTATATCCCCTCAGATGATGTAGCAACGGCAGCGTGCGTTTTTCGCTCGATTGTCGATGCCTTTTTATTTTTCGGGTCATCGATTCCGCAGCAAGGCTTTATGGCAGATTTGGTCAGTTTTTTCTTCTTGATAACGGGAGCAGGGTCCCGTGACGCTTTGTCGGTTTGACGTGTAACAACACTTGGCTTGTTTTCGGTGTCCAGACAACTAAAACTTCTTGTTTAGCAGAGAGCTTACGGGGTTTTCTATCTCTCTTTCGCTTTACTCGAAGTGAACCTTGAATCAGCATTTCGGCGTCGATCAGGGCAGCTTTAGATACGACGTCCGAAGCAGCTTCATTTTCATGGTTCACAGCCATTTGGACGGGTGACATAATGATTGCTGCCACAAGTTGGTATCCAGTGTAAGCGATCAAATCTGCTTTGTTGGAGACCAGAAGTGTCGTCATGAGCAGATCAATCTTAAGACGAAGATCCGAGAGCATCGAGAACGAACGCACTACATTTTGCAGCCGGGTATTAAGAGATTCCTCTCCCATACGAAAGGCCGCGCAGCCTTGCCGGCGATTGTAGCAATTGGCACAACTGAAAAGTAACTTTTCGCTGGAGACCAGCGCTTCGTACTGCTCGGTATTCAGGTCCATGCAAAGCTGATGGTACCATCGGTTGCAGACATCGCACTGCAGATCGCCTGAATTGTCAGTTACTGGCATATTGCACCTTGAACTGCCACAAAGTGCGATTGCCTCAGAATCCAAGCCACCAGGAACAACAGCCTCGGTGCATTGCGAGACCGACATGGTGGAGAACAGAGTGGAATTAGAACATATACAATAGTTAAAGCACCTCAATAAAAAGGCAAAAACTGGGTTAAATTTGGGGCATATATTGCGGAGGTTTTCACTCCCTATATTCCACTCATGTGGAAAAGAGGGTTACGGGCGCAACCTCCATGGATGGATACCACAGGCAAGTACCTCTTAAGAAACGGTCTAGATGCTGGCGAACCTACCAAGCAGCTCCATCAGCCAGCACCTATGATAGTTATCGAGAGATTAGAAATAAATATAAGCAACATCACAGGGCTGTTCGTCTCCAATACGAGCAGGGTTTAGCGGACTCGGCCGCAGCTAATCCCAAGAAGTTTTTTGCTTACGTTAAAGGACGTAGCAGAGCAAAACTGTCTAGTTATTGCGAGCAGACGGGACCCGTGCCCATACTGACTGTGACAATGCTTGTATACTTAGCGATCAGTATGCTGGGGTTTTTGCTCGGGAGACCTCTTTGCCAC